AGGCCCTGAGTTCAAGTCCCAGGACTGGCAAAAAAAAAAGATAAAGATAAGATCCCTTAGCTCCCATCACGCAGCACAAAGCTGAGGAGTAAAGAGCAGCCAAGACTCATCCCTGCTGCCAGGGCCCTGCCAGGGCGAGCCCACCGCACAGGCCCAAACCCACAGGCAATTGAGGCAGCAGAATTCCGGCCCTGCTTCCTCTTACTTCCTCAGCCCCGATTCTCTCATATTATGCTCCAGGAAAATCATCTCAATGGAAACCAAGAAGCATTACAGCCTGACTGGACACCAGAGAGACAGCAGAGCAAGCCCTAAGAGACGTCTAAGGCCCTTTATATTGTTGCTGTTGTCGGTTGTGGGGCTTGAACTCAGGGCCTGGACACTGTTCCTAGGCTCTTTGGCTCAAGGCTAGCGCTCTACCACTTTGAACCACAGCCCCACTTCCGGTTTTCTGGAGATAAGAACCTCACGGGCTTTCCTGCCCAGGCTGGCTTTTAACCAGGATCCTCAGATCTCAACTTACAGGCAAGAGCCACCTGCTGACGGGCTCCCTCTCGTTTCCTTACATTCTGTACAAGGGTTTTACGTGGGTGAGGAAGGGGAGTTGCTTTTGAAATAAATCTTTGGGATGAGAAAGAATTCTCAGGATGGAGGAGCAGCTATGGCTCCCACTGTGGCTTAGAGATAAGTACTTTTCCCAACCATCTGGGTGAAGGACAGGCACAGTGGCTCAAGTTTATAATCCTACCTACTTGGGAAGTAGAGATCTGGAGGGTCTCAGTTCAAAGCCAACCTGGGGGGGGGGGAAGTTATCAAGACCCTATCTCAGTAAACAAGCCGGACGTGGTGATACACGTCTGTAATCCCAGCTAAGCAGGAGGCATAGAGGTAGGAGGACGACAGACTGAGGCCAGCCTGGGGAAAAGCTTCAGAGATGAAAAATAGCCTAAGGCAAAATGGCCTAGAGGTACTGCTTAAGGGTTAGCAAGTTATGGCCTGGAGTTCAATTCCTAGTATTGCCTCATCACTAAAAAAAGAATCTGTGGGCGAGGTCAGGTAGCAAGCGAGGGCTGGTGCACCTGAGCCCCAAGGTCCAGCCACGCAGTCTCTGAGAACATGGAGAGCTACAGCGTCTAGACGGATTCCAGGCGGGCCTTGTCCCCAAGCCAGGGCCAGCCGAGTCAAAACAGCACAGGAGAAAGCCAACCGGACCCCAGCTCGGGGCCCCAGGGTGCCTCTCTGGCAAAGCTTAAGCAGAGGAGGGCGGCTCAGTAGCCCATTTGCTCAGACGAGGAAACCAGGGCCTGGCCACGGCTCAGCGTGGTAAGTGTCTCGTAAAGCGATGCGATTACCTTGCCCTGAAGAGCTGCGGTGGGCAAGACAATCTGGGGCCCGAGGGGCGGGGCACGGGAGGGGGTCACAGAACGCTTCCTGGGAGGGTGACATCTGAAGAAAGCTCCGAAGGAGGAATGAAAAGGTGGCACTTTGGTGAAGAGCTGTGGAAGACAGTGGGAAGCTCAAAGAGGAGGGGCAAAGGTCCTGAGGTCAGAAACCTACCAGGAGAGAGAGGGGGACGGTCAAGGCCCAGCACTCAGGCGGGGGTGAACGGTTTGGACAACGGAAGGCACTAGAGGGGTAACCTTAAGGTTTGTCTGGAGGGGCTGGGCGCTGGTGGCTCACGCCTGTCATCCTGGCTACTCAGGAGGCTGAGATCTGAGGATCGCGGTTCAAAGCCAGCCTGGGTAGGAAAGTCCGTGAGACTCTTATCTCCAATGAACCACCAGAAAACCAGAAGTGGCGCTGTGGCTCAAGTGGTAGAGCGCGCACCTTAAGCTGAAGAGCTGAGGGACAGCGCCCAGGCCCAGAGTTCAAGCCATAACAACAACAGATTTGCCTGGAGGGAAGCTCAGGCTGTTGGACAAGCAGCAGCCTGGACGGTGCGGCTCAGGTCACCCTACCCCACAGCCGGGGCTGGAGCCAGCTCTGCGCGGGACGCCTGCAGCCAAGCCTCTTTGATAGCTCGCCTCGCTGGGGTCTACTCACCGCTTAGCTGGAGACTCCCCCAAATCTAGGGAATGGCCTGCTGCCCGATGCCCTCTTCACAGGTCTACTCCACCCTGAGTGGTGCTCAGCCTCCGCTCCCTGCCAGCAAGACCCCTTCTGGGGGACAGGGGCGCCACACATGGCCTCAGCCCCTGCGTGCCCAGGGCTCCTTCACACAGCCCTCACCCGAACCTCAACGCAGCGACGCACAGGCGAGACCCCAGCGTGAGTCCCCGCCTCCCCCAGGTTCCCCACACGGGGGCTGCTGCTTGTTGCTCCTGACAACCCCCCCCCAACACAGGGACAAGGAAATGTATAATTCATACCCCCCAAAAGGGCGCCATGTTAAAATGCACCATTTAGTGGCTTTTTGTTTAAGGCTGTATAACTGCCATCTCTGTAATTCGGAATCCCCAAAAGAACCCACTAACGGTCATTACCCATCATCATCAACATCGTCGTATCTTCATCCTCCTCCTCCTCCTCGCAGCCCTGGCAATCACTAATCGACTTTCCGCCTTTGTCTGTCCTGGCCATTTCATGTGAATGGCAAAAGGCTCAGGCCCAGGCCACACAGGAGCAATGCTGCCCATGCAACAGCCGGCTTCTCCCTAAGGAATACTGCCTTACAGGTCCCAGAATCCCCAAGTCCGGCCTACGACCAGTGCATAGCGCCGCACCCCCCACCCTCCCCACCCCAGGTCTCAAAGCAGAGAAGACAAAACAAAAATCAGGCCACACTACTTTTACCTGCTATGCAATGTAACTATGGGGTTTGCTCAAAAGAGGCGCCCCTCTATTCATGGACCTCTCGCCTACCCAGGGTCCCCCCTACCACAGGCCTGTCTCCATCCCAGCCCGGCAGAGCAGCAGAGGCCAGTAGTGGGAGCAGGGAGGAGCACCAGCGGGACACATGGGACACACAGCCAGGAACTGCTGAAACTTGTGTTTTTCTACATGGTGGCGGCCAGGCCATAGGGCTGATCCTGACTGTGGGAGTCTAGTGTCCACCCACTCTTGGACTGAATACTGACTGGTCCCATCACCCACACCCTTAAACAGAAGGAGGCTCTCTGTCTCTGGGTATTCTCTTGCTGCTAGCCCAAGGCTGTAAGAGGAACTCTGAATTGCTGCCTGCCCCCTGCCAGGAAACTCCTAGGGCCTAGTTGTTTGGGTTTTTGTCAGTTGTGGGGCTTGAACTCAGGGCCTGGACACTGACCTTGCGCTTTTTCTGTTCAAGGCTAGCACTCTACCACTTTGAGCCACAGCACCACTTCCAGTTTTCTGGTGGTTAACTGGGGATAAGAGTCACACAGACTTTCCTGCCTGGGCTGGCTTTGAACCATGATCCTCAGATCTCAGCCTCCTGAGTAGCTAGGATTATAGGCGTGAGCCACCAGTGCTGCCAGCTGGACCTAGGTTTTTAACTAGTAACCATGACCACTGTGACCCTACGCTCAGTCCAAGCAACACCTGCCAGCATTTTACAGTGTGTCAACTGGCCCTAAATCTATGGGTTTAGACCTTACAGGGGATCCTAAAATCTCTTGTTAACCATCTGCTGGGGCAGGGGGTAGGCCTCAGGGTTGGGGAGCCCCCTCCCCATAGGCTTAGAAGGGAACCACCTCATGAGCCCAGACACCCCAGGGAAGCAAGTCAGGCCAACCAACGTACTTGGATAACAGATGAAGAAACGGGGTCCAGAGGATGAGTCCATTGCTAAGTCAGCTGTCTCCCAGGTTTTCCACTCAGGCTTCTGGAGAGCAGCCTGTATCTGCTTTCTTACCTCCCACCAACTTTGGCAGGAAACGGCTCTCACCACAGTGCTCACTCCTCATCTGAAACAGCCTCACAGATGCCCTTTCCTTGGTCTGGGTGGACCCCATCATGAGCTGCCCGTGGCCCCACCTGTACTGGGCTTCCATTACACCAGCAGTTACTCATCAGAAACCTCCAAGCCTTCCACGTGCCCTCACCCTTAACTTCGGGCCACCTTTAGACAGTCTGAAACGCTGTGCAGCTGTGCTGCTATGCTGTTCTCACTCGGCCTCATCCCGGTTTATCTACACCCGAGAGCAAAGAGGCCTGACTTGTGGTGATGGTGCAAAGATCCCAAAGTTCTGGGTAGTTAAAAAGATTCAACTAGCCGGGCGCTGGTGGCTCACGCCTGTAATCCTAGCTACTCAGGAGGCTGAGATCTGAGGATTGTGATTCAAAGCCAACCTGGGGAAGAAAAGACCATGAGACTCTGATCTCCAATTAACCACCAGAAAACTGGAAGTGGTGTTGTGGCTCAAGTGGTAGTGAGGTCATCTTGAACTGAAGAGCTGAGGGGCAGCGCCCAGGCCCAGAGTTCAAGCCCCACGACCGACCGACAAAAAAAAAAAAAATTAATCAACTCCTGTTCAATGAGACAGTCCTTGCCAATAGACACCACTGACTGACCCATTCCTGATGCCTATGAGCGCAAGCCAGCCTGCTCAGAACCCACTTGGTACTGGGGCCTTCTGCCAGAAGGACACACTCAAGCCAGTCATGACACAGGTGAGGGGAACTCTCTACTCCTACACAACTAGGAACCAAACAGAGGAGCAAACTCTCCTGCCTCTTCCTCCAAGACCGAGGCTGAGAAAGCTAACTCTGCACACAACCTTCCTCTCAGGAGGGAGTGGGTCCACTGTTTTCTTGAGAAGATCCACCCCAGAACCCAGGGCCCCCAAACCTGCTTGTGAGCAAGCTGGGAAGACAAAAGCCAACAGCCAGTGGGCAAGAGGTGATGACCCCAGGCAGAGCCCCTCCTTCCCGCAGTAACAGCGTTCTTTGGGTTTTTAGATGAGGGGTGAGGGGAACAGCACGGAATTGTCATCCTCTTAGGCAGAAGTCACTTTCTTGCCCAAGTTTCGGCCTGTAGCAGGGCACAGGCTGGCAGGCTGCTGGGGGGGGGGATGGTCACTTACCAGCGGGGGCTGCGGCTGGGGGGGCTGCCCGGCTCCCGAGTGCGGTGGGTAGTGCATGAGCAGATTGAAGGCGGAGTAGACCGTCTCTTTGTACATGACGCTGGAGCACTCAGGGGCCTTCAGGCCTGGAAAAACCACAGCTGGGTCAGACACCAGCCGGGGCAGCTGCTGAGCTGCAGGCTGTGGTCTGCTCTTGAAAGAAAAATCATCATCCAAATGAGGATTGCCAAGGGATCCCCTTCAAGTCCGTGCCTGGCTGGGGAACCGGCGGAGGGTGTTGCCAGGTGCCAAGTGGTTGGGAGAAGAACCCCCGCGCGTGTCCAGGCCTCCCCACCTCAGCCC